AAAGAGGAGTAGGTGTTCATTAAGTAGAAACATCAGGGGATGAATATTCCAGGCAAAGGGAGCTGCGTGCAAAGGCACAGAAGTACTAAGGACATGATAAGTTCCAGAATATCAGAGTTGGCCCGGTAGAAGGATACAGTACATAGGGGAGAAAGGATATATGGTGGCAAACCAGAAGGGGAGCAGGCCAGGCTCCACAGAGGAGGTAACATTTCGACTGGGTTCTTGAAGGAGGAGTAGGAGTTTGCCATCCAAAGGCAAGGAAAGAACAGTCTGGTGGTGGGAAGAGCATATACAAAGGCCTGAAGTTGTTTTTTGTTTTTTTTTAATTTTTTTTTTCAACGTTTATTTATTTTTGGGACAGAGAGAGACAGAGCATGAACGGGGGAGGGGCAGAGAGAGAGAGGGAGACACAGAATCGGAAACAGGCTCCAGGCTCTGAGCCGTCAGCCCAGAGCCTGACGCGGGGCTCGAACTCACGGACCGCGAGATCGTGACCTGGCTGAAGTCGGACGCTTAACCAACTGCGCCACCCAGGCGCCCCAAGGCCTGAAGTTGTAAATGTGTATGAATTATTTGGGAGACAGTGTTCTGGAACTGGAGCTCTGCATTTAGGGAGTCCTGTCTCCCATGGAGAGGTTTTGGGGGTATCTGAGCTTGTTTGGCTGACTGGTGGGGTGGGGCCCTGCATTCAATCCGCAGGAGGGATTCAGTGGGGAACGTAAGCAGTACATGTGAACCATAAGGAAGAAGGATTAGGAGGATGGTCTCATGTCTGTCTCAGAGGCTTATACTCAGCACAGGCTCTGCCTACAGGCAGCTGAACCCTGACAAAATGGCTGCAACTGGAAATTGAAGGACTCATTTGCACGCAAACTCCAGGAGACTCTGAGGCACGAGAAGACCCTGACTTGGTCTACGTAACACAAACTCAAGGACTACGTGTTAAAGTGGTTCAGTGTAAGGTGGCAAAGTGTAACATCACAGGTGGGGAAGGAGGAGGACACTCTCTCCGCTTGTGCACAGGATACAGTGCCACTGGGGAAGACTGAGGATTCTGGGGCACCGCCACCATTGCTGGCACCTCTAGGCCTGCAGAAGGAGCACCCACCAGTCATATCATGGTGGGCAGTGGTAGAAGCAGTGGGCAGCCATGTTCTCCAGCAGGTGCCCATCACAGAGTGGGGGTCCAAAGCAAGAAAGGAATGAAAGCATGGGTAACATGTGGTAGCAGGACGTATCCTTGAGGCCAGAGGAGATAATCTTTGGGACTTCCTGGGAATCACCGGGAGGTGGAGACTACAGAGAAGAAAAGATCCTGCAAGAGGAGAGATATGCAAAAACCAGTAAAGATGGGCCACATCTAGGAGACCAAATGGCTAGGACTCAGTGAAATTTGAACGTGGGTGAGGGAAAGGGAAGAGTGCCAGAGGGACCCAGCTATCGGGTTTGAATTCTATGTGGTTCCCCCACTGGAGGTGGAGTAATGTTGGGATTTTGAACCCACCATTCCGGAAGATGCTGGGTGTAAGGGTAGGGGCAAGCTAACAGAGATGAGGGGAACTAGGTAGAGCTAATGCACAGTAAGGGGTTGGCACCCAGAAGCCAAAATTCAGTCCAGGTCGTAGGTCAAGAATTGTGGGTTTCGAGGGCTCAGCATGCGAAAATGGCTTCCCACACACCTCACACACCAGGATAACATTCTTTCCCCCATACCCTTCAATCTTTTCCTTTCTATAGGATCCCTTCCTTTAGTATTCAGACATGGTCAAGTATCTCCCATATTTAAAACAAAAACTTTCCTTTGACCCCGTATCCTTCTCCAGCTACTTCCTTCACCTTAGCTCTCCACTCTCTGTAATGAAGCTTCTCCAAAGGGTGGTTCCTCCACTCACTGCTGGCCCCTGCTCCCATCCCTCTGCCAACATCTCACCACCAATGACTTCTGTGTTGCTGGCACCAGCGCAGTTTTCTGTCCTTATATTATCTGACATTTCGGCTCTCATGATGTCTGTGATGGCACAAATTTAACCAGTGTTAGGGGTCTGAGGGAACTTAGTTTGGATCAATATATACGATGAAACTCTTACCTTGCTTCCTATAAAAATGTGCCACCGAGCAGCACACCGAAATTGAGGCCTTCCTGAAACCTAAGCCAATGGCCTTCTTTCCCCCAATCTCTTAAATGTCTTGGCCTAAAGTAGAAGCCAGAAATAAATGGCCATTTTCACTGTCGTGCCCTTCTTGAATATCCATGGTCATAAATGAACGTTTGGTAATCACTTGACATGCGCTGGATAATTAAGTCTCACGGCACAACTGCAAGCAAAAGGCAATAGTACCACAATTATCCCCATTTTAATCATATTTTTTAATGTTTCTTTATTTTTCAGAGGGAAAGAATTAGCGTGGGCAGGGGAGGGGCAGAGAGAGAGACGGAGACACAGAATCTAAAGCAGGCTCCAGGCTCCGAGCTGTCAGCACACAGCCCGACGCGGGGCTCGAACTCACGAACCGCAAGATCGTGACCTGAGCTGAAGTTGCAGGCTTAACCGACCGAGCCACCCAGGCGCCCCATTATCCCCATTTTATAGATGGGGACACTGACACAGCTGTTAAGCACAGAGCTGGGATCAAAAACACGGATAGGCCAACCGCAAAGTCCCCACTCTTAACGACGATGCCACAGCCTGAGAGGGGTGTCCAGCCAAGTGGGAGACAGCCGGGCCCATCACCTACCACCCAGTCCCAGGTCAGCACCGACCAGAGAGTCAATCACTCACGCAGCATTCCTGCAGATGATGTTTCAAAATTCACCTTTTTATTAATTTAAAAATCCAGAAATACAGCGACTACATAAATAAGTACCCTATTTAGGTACATGTCCCGTGAGAAGAGTAAAGGGCTAATACTGTGACGTTACTCTTACTTGTGTACACGAGTTAACTATGACATGCCTACAACTGCTAAGTGGTGTTTATGGTCTTTGTTGTTCCAAGTGTTTATGATACAAATAAATATACAAGAAGAACCACATCCGTTCCTCTAACTACAGGTGGCTCGGCCTCATCTCCCCACGTCCCACTGCCTATACGACACCGAACACTGGGTTTCCACGTTGGCCGAGCACAGCTCCCCAGCTCATGCTTCACACGGCACTTTGTAAAGGTGTGTCCCAGCACCCGGGGGCAGAAGTCTATCTAGGGAAGCTCTCTGGGTGTTCCCTTATGGTTGAGCTTTCAGAGAACACCTGGGTGGGAAGGCTTTGGGGTGAGTCACCCAGAGGGGGAAACCACCGCTTGCTTTGGGATTCAGTTACTTGTTTCCACACTATGGAAATACTGCCACCTCTGGGAGGGAGGCAGCAGCTGCTGAACACCGTCGTCCCCCTCCTCCGCAATAATGCTCTGTGGCCTTTCAGCCCCTGGATGTCCTACCACCCTCTCCCGCGGAGAATATGAAGGAAAGGTTGGTAAGAGGCTTATCCCATAAAGGCCTGGCCACGAGGCGCTCCTGTGTCTCCTAATTTAGGAGAACAGCCTCCTTTATGCCAGGTTGCCATAAAGACTGGGCCCGATTGCTGTCAAATGCTGTAAGGAAACCAGTGTTCCTCTCCCCTATGGTCACGGAGTGGGAAATACAGGATTTCTGGGCCCCTAATATTTCTGAGTCTTCATTAGAGTTCATTCATGCCCCTCAGAAGGGATAAATCTAGGAGGCAGGCTTGAGATCCTTGTGGAGAATTCAGAGTTTTGTCACAAAGATGATTTCTAAAGCCAGGCCTCAGAATGGAGAGCTTCTACTTCTGGGATTGAGCTGCAAAGAGACAGTTTTCAGAGCAGCCTGGATTAGGATTCATGATTCAGATCTGGGCTTGGTGGATGAGAGGAGAGTGGTAGGAAGGTTTAGAACAAAGATCCTTATCAGAATTTCCATTTCCTCAAAGGAGCAGTAATTCTCCTAACTGAAGAGGCAACATTCAGAAGATGTGGGAGGACTGGGCCCCTCTGCAAAGTCAAAATCAGCTCCTGTAACTGGAGAAGGAAGAAAACTGCCCTCTTAAGGAGCTTCTAGAATTTAATCACTTAATTTCAATTTTTTGGGCTACCGAACTAGGGCATCAGGGAAATTAGCTGACCAACCGTTTACTTCAACAATTATTTTGTTTTACGTGGATTCGGTTTCTGAAGATTTTACCCAGTTCTCACTTTTTGACGGGGGCCCCCACAGGTTCAGGGAGAAAAGCGAAGCGGTCTCATCAGGGAAATGTTAATTATCGCTTCCAAGGGAATGCGACCGTGAAATAGTGTTTTTGTTCTTCACCCTTCCATCAGAGTCGGTGACTTTAGCAGCCACACCACTGACCTAAGGGTTGAGCCTTTTGCTCACAATTCCTTCTTTATCTTCCTGAGTACCCACAACTTCAAAGCTACCTGGGAGCCAGGCAAGAGAAAGGAGGAGGGAATCTATGCTGGCTGTGCCTCAGAATGAAGACTGCAGTTTAGTCTGTGTGTGTGTGTGTGTGTGTGTGTGTGTGTGTGTGTGTGTGAGGATGGGGTGTTAATTTTTTTAAAAAAACACAAGACATTCTAAAACTCAAAGAGTATGATTTCATACAAATATTTTCTCTGTACTACAGAACTCCTACTAAGCATTTCTCTCCTGTTTCTTTCACTGGAATAACTTTCTAGATAGAAACCCTAGGGTTTTGTTTACTCTTTAACCTGTAAAGAAATGTGATTCTCCCAGAAACTTAGAGCAGTGCTGTGGTGTTCTATCCCTCTTCCTCCCACAAATAATTCAAGACTCTCCCAGTCTCTTTGGAGGACATGTTTAAGGACTGACACATAAAGGAGCAAGTTATGCTGTGCATGGCGTGAATAATAAACTGCATTTGAGTTTGGGGTTTTAGGGCACTGTTGACTTAAGCAAAATAAGCCTGCAGTCCAGCTGCGGCTTGATTTTTCTTGCTCTATCCTATCCAATACCGCCTGTCTCGTCTAACAGTGGCCCTTTTCAGACCTTTCCAGGTACAAAACCTTGACCAAATCTTCAAGCTCAGTTCTGCACACACGACTCGAACACATCTGGCTGATCTGAGCTTCTCCTTCGGTGAAGATCTTCCACTGGCCTAGAAAGCAAACACAAAGCAGCCCAGAGAGGTAAGAGGAGAGCACAGCCAATTAGGAGTGTGACCAACCTAACCCGATCCTTACCCACTCACTTGCCGGGAGGAGCTGGAAGCCAAATGTCAGGGGGTTTCAGCAAAACAGCGCCCAAAACACTTTTCTGGGGACAGATATGGAAAGTGGGCCACAGAATGTTCATTTCAACACACAGTATTTGTAAGAATCCCAAGAATAATAGGTAATTGCCTCCAGAGTCAAACCTAAGTATTATTTTTGGAATTTTTACAGTATATTTAGCATTTGTAAAATGCTCCACTATCGGGCTGTTAGCTCTTTAGGTGATTCCCTTGGGACCAGGTCAAATAAGGCACTTTGGAAAACAGTACCTGTGCGTTCCCGAGGTCCCGCTTACTTTTCAGGGGCAAGATACTGGTGTAGGTGACTCGATTATTTAGTGCTCTTTTTTCTATTCCTGCCCTTTGTTAAAAAACTGCCCACCTCGGTCTTCTCCTGTGCTCACATGCTGTCTTAACACCCCCCTCTTAGGATCCCTCCCATTCTCTGTTTTCTCCTCTCCCTGCCAGCATGTCCTTACCAGCTCATCTCTTCCCCCATTCCATCATGCCAACTGAACGAACAGTCTTGAGTGCACTCCCCGTGCTGAGCACTGGAAACCATTCTAGATCACCTCTTTTTTCAACCGTCCCTTTTCTGACTGTCCTGGTCCTTGAGTGGCAAGATCTTCCTTCTCCTTAGTGTCATCTTGCCATGGCAAAGAATCTTCGTGACAAACCGTCCACCCTGGATACCCACTTTGGGTCTTTTTCTCCCTGCTCTCATGGCGTTACAGCCTAGGGAACCCCTAGTCCAAGGTCAGCGAGCTCCTCTCAATCCAGAGCCAATTTTGAACCACTTTTCTTTCCCTAGCCACAGAAGAACATGACCCTCTTCATTAAGGACTCCATTTCCCTGCTCCTTTGTCTCTTGGGTTCTTCACTTTTCTCTGTTCTCTCCAACTCAGCGGGAAAGGAGAGAAGGGTCGGGCAAGGAACCACCTTGTACTGAAGCCCTGCTGTGTGCCAGGATCTGAGAGCCACATGACAGAAAGGGCCAGGCTTGTTGTTCTTTGTCCCCAGGTGACCCCGCAGGATTGTCTCATTACCCACTTCCTTCAGCTGCACACAGTTGGGGGCACACACCATCTACTTCCATTATGCACCCTCAATCCCATTATGCCTAGCATAGGGCCTTTCTCACAGTAAAAACAAAAACATGTTCTTTGAAATTCATCGGTAATTTAAAAAAATCACATCATTCATACCAGACCCTAGACTCTGCCCCCTTCATTTCCAACCCCTCCATATGAATTCTCCTACCGGGCAGTTTATGGTCTATCAGTCTCCTACAGAATACACAAGTAACCTCGTTAACCCTATTTCCAGCTGCCCACCGCGAAACTCTGCTCAGATGGCCTTTATGTATCTGAATGTAAACATGTTTCAAATGAAACACATTTTTTTTTTTCTCCCCGGCAGTACCTGCCTGTTCCTCAGAGCCTCCCCTTGGCAAATTATCACTATTCACCCGGTCTGTAAAATTGTTACTCCTGGAGTCATTCCAAACTCATTTCTCTCTTTGTAGCCATCTTGATGATTTAAACTCAGAGGTGTCCCTCACCGTGACCTCTCTCCCCTGGTCCAACCGACTTAATACAGTATTTTAATTCAGACTACCATCAGCTACTTACCGCCGACAGTCCACTTTCCAGTCCACACAGCAGGCACCTCTTTCTAAAAAACATATGTGCACGCACCGTGCACTTGCTTAAAGTCCTCCCCTGGGGTTCTCTGGCCTGGCAATCAAGTCTAACTTCTCAGCATGGCATAATGGGCTCTTTGGGATATGATCTCATCAAAGTAGGTACACCATAAATCCATCTGCTAGCCAAGAGACATCTTTGCAGAGCATCATTTTTGTTATCAGTAGGCCGTTTGTAAATCTGCAGCAACCACCAACGCGACTGGACTTCCACGTGAACTTCTCACCGGCTTCTTCCAGGGCTGCCCACCCCCCACATTTCTTGTTTGTTCCTGGCAGAGTCTCCTTTTAGGCAGCACCCTCTCCCTGAATTGATTTCCTGACCTGTTGCACAGACACACCCTTCTCTTTCAAAACACACCTCCTCCCCGAAGCCCACCTGGCTCTTGTCTCATTGTGCCTTGCAGATTCCCCTGAGTACTCAGGTAGTTAACTCTTGAGAGCTAGGCTGATTCACGGTGAAGGTATTTTCATGTTCTGTCTGGCCCATTAGAATACCCGGTGGATACAAATTCTGGGCCTTTTATTCCTTCAGAAGTGCTGGCCACCTCCCAGCGCCTAGCAGTATCTAGTCCTTAGGCTCCGTCCTGCATTAGAAAGAGGGAAAGCTGCCGACGTGCTTGAGTCCTTGAGTGCTTTTAAAGAAACATGACCCCCTGGGGGCAGTTTCAAAGAGTCAAACAGACCTTGGTAGGACACAGGAATTGAGACACTTTCCTTTTCCATCTCCCACCCCCACCGCTGGAGGACACATCCTTCCAGAGGTCAAGTCTCCACAAGTGTACCAGCCCTGGAATCCTGTGAGCTTTCTCTGACCTTCTTGACACGCTGGGGTTAGCAGTTTTCATTAAAGATATTCAGGAAACCTTGACTCGAGGTAGCTGATGCTGAGACTACATCTGGATTTGTATTCATCGGGTCCCAGTTTTTCAGTTCACATTCGGACCCCCCGCCCCCCCACTGCCGAGTCACCCGGAGAAGAGACACAACAGCCTCTAAGGTTGACATTGAGCACTGCTAATGTTCACTAAGAACACAAGCGGACCTTGTTTGGGGCTATGCTACGTTGAAGACTGGAGGCGTTTTCCAGGGAGGAGCGAAGAAAGACAGGTACCACTTACTCAGCGTTGTCCTGGTCACCAGCTTGAAGTGATGGAGCTCCTCAAACATCCTCTTGGAGATCTTCTCAATATGGAAGTGCTGGAGGATGCCTGGAACCAAGTAAAAAGTGGGGGCAGGTGGTCAGGCCCTCCCTATCTGGAACCACCACCCCCTTTTTCTGCTTGGGCTGGGCATATCATCTCATTACAGGGGCTTAGGAGTATCGAGCTGGGCTGTGTAATGTGCTTAACCAGGAACTTGGATGGCTCAAGGGTTATAATTGACTCCATCTGTTTCTTTGGCTCACTGGCCTCCCCTTGGTTCTCCAGAGGATAGAGATATAGCAGATCGTGTTGCTGACCATGGGACCCCCTCCTAGGGAAAGCCACATGGAATCGGGCATGGGTGCTGGTGGGAGTTGTTATAGCCAAAGGCAGTATTAGAAATTCTGCCCTTGCCCCACGTCCAGGTAGATTATGTCCCTGCCAAACCACTGGGCTGCCCTTCTGGCCAAGCAGTGAGAGCCAGCAGTGGGATTGAAGACAGGTTGTTTGTGTAAATGGAGAAGCCATCCCTGTTCTTGAACTCACTGAAAAGCATATTTTCCTTTGGGAAATCTTCACAGCTCCTTTGGCTTTCCCTTACAGAAAATGGGGAAAGTTAAAATAAAGGTGGGGGGGGGGGGACACAGTCTCAACTTTGCCTGAATAGTTTTTATCAGAATAACACATAAACTGCAAATGGCCTTGCAGTTAAAGAGCAACATGTTACCAGCCTACTTAATCCTCAAGAGGTCTAGAGAAGGCAACGTAATTGAAACCTGGGTTATCCTCTGCTCACCGAGCACAGACCGTGGCTGCCCAGCCCTGAACAAGAAGTCCTTCAGATGCTACCCAGCAAGCATGGAAAAATATCCATGTGCCTCTAGGGGGTGAGCGATGTGGGGCAACCAAATATTGGGGCCACTGTTAGGGAAGCCAAAAGGACAGGGCTTAGTCCTAGGTGACCAGTTACAGAGGAGCTAGGGAGTTAGAGATGGAACATGGACATTCCTAGGTATAGAGCAAAAACGAACACAGACAAGAAACCTATGTGTGTTCTAGCATATTTCTTTAAGGGGTGGGAAGGAACTCATTCTTTCAGGCAAGAGAAGTTGTGAAAAGGGAGAGTTCGAAGAAGCCCTAGAAATACTCGAGCCATCGTTTCTCAAAGTATGGCCCGAGTGCTGCCTGAATTAGAATCACCTGGCCGTTTGTTACGTGTTGAGGTGCTACCTAAGGTCTGCTGAATTCACGTCTCTTGGATGGGGCCAGGGAGCTGTGTTGTAAACCGGCTCCTTTACATGGTATGTAAAGCTCCTCAGTATGATGCGGAGGCATACTAAACTTGGAGCACTCTCAAGGCTTACTTACGCAGGAGCCAGGAGAAAAAGGATGTGCGCTGTTTCCCAGCTGAAATCTTACCTCTTCACTTGGATTCCTAGAAAACGCGGCCAGCCTAGATCAACACTAGCCTTGTTATCTGTGGGATGGTCTGAAGGGCTGTAGGATCACAATGAACACGATGCGGCTGGCTATGGCAGTCGGGGTGAGTGATCAGAAAAGGAACTGGACGGACAGAATGACAGGGATTGTTCCTCTGGGCGAGACGCTTCTTGAGGGCGGGGATGAGGTTTTCAGTGCGTGTCACCCCAGAGTACATAGCGCGATTTGAGAGACGCAGCTTTGCACTGAATGGATGGATTTTCCTGTTTGTTGAGGTTCAGATGGGAAAAGAATGGGTAGGCTACAGTTTGGTAGGCTGCCGTCGTGGCTGTGCATTAGAATCACCTGTGGAGCTTTAAAAACAAACACTTTTGTGGGGCGCCTGGGTGGCTCAGTCGGTTGGGCGGCCGACTTCGGCTCAGGTCATGATCTCGCGGTCCATGAGTTCGAGCCCCGCGTCGGGCTCTGTGCTGACCGCTCAGAGCCTGGAGCCTGTTTCGAATTCTGTGTCTCCCTCTCTCTGACCCTCCCCTGTTCATGCTCTGTCTCTCCCTGTCTCAAAAATAAATAAAAAACGTTTAAAACAAACAAACAAACAAACAAACAAACACGTATGCCGAGGCCCCATCCCTGGCCGATCAATCAGCAGCCCTGGAGGGAGGCTCAGGTATTTGGTATTCACAAAAACCTCTCCCACGTGATTCTGATGTGCAGCCAGGGTTGCAAAGCACTCCTCCAGCCTTTGTTGGTACAAGAAAGACAACAAGCCCCAAGGGCCAACGCTGACTTTTTGGACCAGGTCATGGTTAAGGGTCAAAGGTCACAATCACCACCGTGTCAGTCATGTGGTAGTTGCTGAGCGATCAGGAAAACTGACCCAAACGGAGGAGCTGGTTGAAGCAAAATTAAGGCGAGTCTTCCCCTCCTTCCCTGGTCCCCCGCCCCTTACAAAAAAAATAACAAGGAATTAATATTGTCTTGCTCACCCTTTCGGATGGTCCAAACGTGCACCTCCACCTGAGGTGGTCTCTCGGTCTCCAGGGCTATTTTTCTGGTGGTCTCCCCATCCTCCATGAACACAGATTCATACACAGGCATGGTTTCTTCTCCACAAAAGTAGCCCTTACTGTCAAAGCTTTGGCCCGGAAGTTCTTCTGGAATCGGGAAGCAGGTATCTCATTGTTCATAGTGTCTCACGCTCATCGAAAGTGGACAATCAGCGAGAACATTCTTACAGAGTTAGAAATTCCACCCCTATTCCTTTGGCTCAGTTTAAGCTGCGCTGTAACAGCCACCAAATCACAAAGGACCACCTGACCTTTGATTTAAGTCTACACGAGGACAGAATCCATAGATGTGCAGAACACTGGCCCACAAACCAAACTGGATCCACCCACCACCACAGGAGAAGTAGACCTTCGTGAGGAGGAAGACCGTGGCCAGGTACAAATCTCTTAGGCATGTCAGGGTACATAGGATTTTCCATGCTGGGTCCGGATCATGGTCTGTTTAGCACAGTGTTACCAACCGAGACCCAGGGAATGGGCTGACAGAGGGTCTTGCTTAACTTCCCTGACATCACTTTGGTATACTTAGAAAACATTTTATGACCCTCATTTATGTGCATATAGTTGCCCAAAGGATCTATCCAAATTGGCTTGACATTTCTGAATGCTCTTTGATTTGTTTGTGAGGGGAACGATAATACCGGATCAGCACCCGTGCCAAAACCTAGATGTCAGATTAGTCATATGCATGCTATGCCAAATGAACGGCTGGGAGACACAAAAAATTGGTCAAATCCCTCAACTATGGATCATTTAAAGTATAAACTAAACTGCTGGATTTCAGCTTCCAGGCATAAAGATACCAGCCCCTTCAAACTTCCCATTCCGCTCCACCCTTCTCTTCCCTCGGCCCCCTACCAAAAGAAAAAAAAAAAAAAAGTTTTTCCAAGTTGATGATCTGTGAGTTAAGTTTCTTTGCTGGCTTCATGAGCAGCACCCTCTTCAACTATGGCTTTAAAGTGTACCCTCGCATGAGGAGGAACAAAGAGAAGCCACGGACACCCTGAAAACTTTGAATATGTGCAGAAGTCATGTGTAAGACTATCTGATGAAACCACTGAGTGCTGGGTTCTTTGGATCTGTGACTCTAATCAGGGAGACTCATTGTTAGCCAATCAGATGCATCGGGACCAGAGGCTGTAGTCAAATTGCTATTGCCCATCTCGTGTTGACCTGATTCCCACCCTCCACCACCATCTCGGCAGTGTAAGGACAAAATCGAAGTCATCTCTTGGTGATTCCAGGTGGAACTACTCAATTTGTAGATCATCCTAGGATCAAGCCTCCTTTCTCCTTTGGCCCTTTTTAGTTATTTAATTGCTTGGTGGGCCAGTCCTTTGTGGTAATATGTTAGGTAATTAGGGGACATGTGCTAGCACTTTGCCAGTCAGAGAAGTGGGTCTCTGAGTTCGCAGGGACCTCTGTGTATTTATCACCTTGAGAATGACAGCTGAGTTCAGTTGTTAATTTTTTTTTTTTTTGCACCAGCTTAATACTGGCTACAGCTGTTAACTGCCATGCGAAATCCATGATGGCTCTGTAAATACCTGTCATGTACTAAAAGTTCTCCTAGTGTCCTGAAGAGTTGTCTTGCACCCCCCACCACCCCCACCGAGAGCTTAATGGACTCAGCAGAAGGGCTCTATGAGCAACAAAACCCATCAGTGACTCAACCCTGGCTGGCACTTGAAAATATTAAGAGTAAACAAAGTGTGTCTTTGAAGCTACCCAGTGGGCAACAACCTCCCCGTTCCACACCCTCCACATCAAGGTGCTTTCTGATCACTCCATGCTCACCTAGTTGCGTTTCCTTCCAAGGAAGCCTGCTATGCTCACAGTCATTTCTGGCCATACCCACCTCCCTTGAGAATGCTCATATCCCGAGCTCTCCACAACTAAGAAATTGACAAAGCATTTCCTTATGGAGGTGGTAATGACTGATGAGGATGTATTAGCCCAGATAAGTTTTAAGTCTTAACAGGGGTGTTTTACACTGTATGCCGAAAGGACTGTGTAATTATAGGAATTCCAGATACCGGGGTGGTGTGGTGGGGATGGGAGTGGAGTTGGAGAACCTTCAGGAAGTGAAAGTCCTACACAATCTTGTAGGTGGCCACTAATAAGCAAGGCCAGGCCAGCCTCTACCAGAGCAAAGGCAAGAGAGGGAAGTAAAACTCACATCCTTAATTTTGGCCCTAGTTTGTGACTGGAGGAGGCTGTGATCACGTGTTCTAAGGAAACTTTTGGCTAGATCATCAGTGAATTTGATTTATCTCTTTTCCCTTCTCAACACAAATAGCTGAATTTACTGTTCTTTTCTACATCGATCTTCTTCCCTCTCCACTCTTTGTCCCTTTTTCTCTGTCATGTGTTATCTTTTTTTTAAATTAATTTATTTTGAGAGACAGAGAGCACAAGTAAGGGAGGGGCAGAGAAGGGGGGGAGAGAGACACACACACAGAGAGAGAGAGAGAGAGAGAGAGAGAGAGAGAATCCAAAGCAGGCTCCGCACTGTTGCACAAAGCCTGATGTGGGGCTCGAACTCATGCACCGTGAGATCATGACCTGAGCCGAAACCAAAGAGTCAGATGCTTAACTGACTGAGCCACCTGGGCGTATTCTTAATCTAAGTGTATTACAAGTTCTTTCTTTTTTTAACAGTAAGTGGGACCACAATATAAATATTGTTTTGGAGCAAAGCTTTGTACTTAACAAATATGTCACAAACATCTTTCCATGCCATTAAGTCTTGGTCTACAATGTTTTTTTTTTTTAATTAGTTTTTTAGAGAGAGAGAGAGAGAGAATGTGAGAGTGGGGGAGAAGGGCAGAGGGATAGAGAATCTCAAGCAGGCTCCACACTCAGCATGGAGCGCAACGCAGGGCTTGGTCCCATGACCCTTGGATCATGACCTGAGCTGATGTCAAGAATCGGATGCTCAGGTGCCTGGGTGGCTCAGTTGGTTAAGCGTCTGACTTCGGCTCAGGTCATGATCTCACGGTTCATGGGTTTGAGCCCCACATCAGGCCCTCTGTTGTCAGTGCAGAGCCTGCTTCGGATCCTCTGTCCCCACTTCTGTCTCTGCACCTCCCCCATGCTTGCTCGTGCTCTCTCTCACTCTCTCAAAAATAAACATTAAAAAAAATTAAGAGTCAAATGCTCAACCAGCTGAGCCACCCAGGGACCTCAGTCTACAATGATTTTGAATGGCCATCTGATAAGCCATGGTACAGCTATACCATAACTTATTTAACCATTCCCATATTGGTAGATTTTCAAATTGTTTCCAATTTTTTACTGCTGTAAACAACATTGAAGAAAAAAATCCTTATTTGTGTATCTGTGTATCCCTCTTATTACTTTCTTAGGATTCCTAGGAGTGAATTACTTAGCCAAAGAGTAGGAACGTAAAGGTTTTAATAAATACTGCCAGGGGCGCCTGGGTGGCGCAGTCGGTTAAGCGTCCGACTTCAGCCAGGTCACGATCTCGCGGTCCGTGAGTTCGAGCCCCGCGTCGGGCTCTGGGCTGATGGCTCAGAGCCTGGAGCCTGTTTCCGATTCTGTGTCTCCCTCTCTCTCTGCCCCTCCCCCGTTCATGCTCTGTCTCTCTCTGTCCCAAAAAAAAAAAAAATAAAATAAAATAAATAAATACTGCCAACATGAGAAGCCAACTATTTAAAAGCCAATGCCTGTTCTACATTCACTTATTTGAATCACCTATATCTCTAAACGACTAAGCATTACAATGAAATGAGATTTGGTCTGAAGATCTGAGATTGAAATTGGAATATTATATAGCAGGGAGGATTTACCTTCCCTGGGGTAGTTTAGATCATGATTAGTTTTGTCTGAAAATATGTTACATTACTTATATGACTGTAGGTGTTCCACCCTTGGCCAAAACCAAAGAACATAAAATAAAATTGTGTTGGTAGAATTACTCCAAAGTGACACTAAAAGGTTTGAGGATCCGGCAAGATCACAGACTTGGAAGTCACAACAGGTTATTGTGACTTGGGTGGCCCCCCTGTCCGGATCACGCTCAGAATGTGCTCTCTCCCTATCTCTAATGAGTGCATTTTCTCATCAATTTTATTATTTTTTTAAAGATTTTATTTTATTTATTTTACTATTTTTAAAACTATTTTTAGTTTTCTGTAAATCTTAGTTAATATATGGTGTAACAATGATTTCAGAAGTAGAATTTAGTGATTCATCACTTACATATAACACCCAGTGCTCATCCCAACAGGTGTCCTCCTCAATGCCCATCACCCATCTAGCCCACCCTCATCCACCTCCCCTCTAGCAACCCTCAGTTTGTTCTCTGTATTTCAGAGTCTCTTATGGTTTGCCTCCCTGTTTTTATCTTATTTTTTCCTTCCCTTCCCCTATATTCATCTCTTTCTTAAATTCCACATGGGTGAAATCATAGAATACTCATCTTTCTCTGACTTACTTCACTTAGCAGGATACTCTAGTTCCACCTGCGTTGTTGCAAAGGGCAAGATTTCATTCTTTTTGCTCACCGAGTAGTATTCCATTGTATATACATATCACATCTTCTTTATCCATTCACCAGTCAGTGACATTTGTCTCACCAATTTTAATGCCCCAGTTCCCTACTCCAGATCAGATAGGTGCTGTCCTTCCTATCCAATCCTACCTGCTGTTTGCTCTGGGAGGAAGATTTCGTTTGTGCCATAAAGAAATGCTTCTCATACTTTAACGTGCATGGGGATCAACTGGGGGGTCTTGTTAAAATACAGATTCTGATGCAGTAGGTCTGGGAGGGGACCTGAGAGTCTGCCCTTCTAACTAGCTTCTAGGTGCTTCTGGTCCACAAACCACACTTAGAGTAGGAAGGCTATAGACCACCCTGAGCCTATGGCAGGTGCTTCTCAAGCTTGTCTGCACATTAAAACCACCTGGGGATCTTTTAAAAATTCTGGCGCCCAGGCGACACCTGAAATCAATTAAATCCTAATCTCTGGGGATGGGACACAGGTATTTTTAGAAGCTTTCCCGGGGGTTCCAATGTGCAGACAAGTTTGGGAACCACTGGCTTACATGAAGATGGCTCAAAAAATATACGTGGGCTAAGTTCATGTTTGCCTGCAAATCATGACGAACTAACTGCCTAAGTTGAAGGAATAAATGTTTGAGCTCTCTGCCTACTTCTAAAGTTTTTTGGGTTTTCATCTGTGTTTACAAAAATGCTTTGCAGGTAGGCATATGAATCGATGAATTCATGTGCATGGGAGTGACTCATTCACTCCTAGAATGCTGGAGCAGGAAAGGCCCTAAGAAATACTCTACCCTAACCCTCATTTTGCAGAGAAGGAACCTGAAGCTCAGAGAGGTGAAGTGACTTTTTCTAGGTCACACAGGAAACCAGCGGAAGAGCCAGGATTAGAATGCTTGATCACCGATCCCCTATGCTGTCAGTCCCCACACTACAGACTACATTTTAATCTAGTTCATATGTGTTAGAACCACTGTGGATTCCCTTTTTAGGAAATCAGTTAATATTATCTCCTGGCCTGGAAAAGGTAATGAGCTACACGTGACCTGAATTCCAAACCTCGGTTTTGTTATCTATTTGTGGGATTCAGAGCAAATCACTCTATGCACTTCGGTAACGATATCATTATACAATTGTAGTGTTGGATGGGAGCTTGGAGATGAATTCTTCCAAACTTCTCCTTGTGCAGATGAGGCTGATGAAGGCCAGAACAGGTCTGTCACCTTTCCCAGGTCACACAGCAACTTAGGTCAGGACCAGAACCCACTTTCTTTCCACTCTACCTCACGTGCCTCCCATCCTATCTCGAAAGGGTAATGGATGTGATTGTGCTTTGACGAGTGAAATAGTGACATCAATGAAAGGTGCTACTGTTCTTCTGTATAATCCTCATACTCCAATTTCTCTATAATTTAGAAAGGCCAGGCTGAAGTCTGGCACTTGAGGCTATGTAGGGCCAAAGGTGTAGTAGATACGAGAAAAAAAAACAAAAAACCCAGTCTATTTCTGAGTTACAAATTTCTTCCAAACAACCATGTTATCAGCCCTTCAAGGGAGGAGAGAATGAAGTTCATTGTTACAACTAGTATCATTACAAGGATACGGCAGGTTGATTAGGTTTCTGACACTCAAAGAACACTGAGAAGGACTACGTGGGGAGCTCATTCAACGAAAGGCAGGGCTTCCAACCAACGCACCTTTTGCCTTTTTACCTGGACACACCTTGCAGCACTTTCCATCTATTTTTTGAGGATACTTGCAGGGGTACCGGTTGGGGCAGTGGATTTTCTTACACTCTTGCTTGGTGACATTGCAAGTGCACAGCACACACTCCACAATGCCAAATGCCCGGAGATTGGGGTGCCAGGACTCGCCATGGGAGTAAGTCTTTCCATTGGAAACACACACTGGAAGAGAACACAGGGCTGGAAATTAAAGGCTAGGGTGCTGAAACGGGTCCCTGTGCTCAGAACCCAAGCCCTGAACCCCTTCAGACATCAAGCATCCTTTGTCCTTTCCATGGCCGTGGACGTATACAGAGCAGTCTCTGTCACCACAAAAATCCCCATCCCGGTTCCTATTCTACCATTAGCAACCATTCAGATGCTTCAGCAGCGACATCTGGATGCTCACAAGTGCCTGGCACCTTGTGAGCAGTTGATAAATATTTCTTAAAAATGGAGGAATGTACTAGTGCATGAGAGCAGGGTTCCATCTGTCCTGGGTATCTCTGCGATAAGGAACCTCTAAGAGATTGTAGTGTTAATCCCTGCAGTTTCATAAAAGATGTACGCGGCTCGAGTGGATATGCTTCTTGGCATGAAAATCCCCCAGAGAGCTTGGCTGCCCAGGGAAGCTCGATGAAGAAACTACCGCTCTTCCCAAAGGGCCAATTTCTTCCAGATCCTGAAGCAAATCAAATGCTATGGAGAGTCTGATCCACCAACACAGATGGGTATGGAGGTAATGGCACCTGCCTACTCTTTGGCGTGGGGAGGAAGGCACTAAAATGAGATGAAGAGGGAAAGGATTGTGAAAGGTAGCCTTTCGTGCCTCTACACTTTGGGCAGTGTCCTCTGGCCCCTGTCTCACAGTGGCTACAGGGGTCCAGCAACAGCGGTCTCCCGTTTCCTGAGCCGGAAGTGAAGTCACTGGCTCTGCGTTTTGTGAGGGGCCTTGCAGGAGCAAGCATCTGAAGAGCTACAGGCTCGGGGAGGGGGGAGTTGTGGGGGCGGCTATGAAGGGAAGGGGCGACGGGAACATCCTCCAATGCAGACCAACCAAAACATGCCCAGCTCCTCCCGTAAGGCATAGAGCCGAACTCCAGGATTAAGAACTATACAGGGCTGGGAGCGGGGAGGGCGGAGAATAAGCTCTCTCCCTTTCTGAAAGTGCCGAGACATTCTGGAGATTTTAAAGCCATGACTGGGACTGGGTGTGTTTCTCATTATTCCCATCACCTCATCATACCCAGGGAGACCTGTCGGCATCCCAATCAACAACATCTCTAGGGTGGGTTGTATCACTTAAGGCGGGGCTAGGGTGGGAGAAGTAGCCCCACTTGGGGCGTTTCTAGGAATTGGCTGATTTGGCCGCAAGACAATGGCCTCAGAAGGATGAATCATTGGGCTATTTCTTTCTCCTCAAGTCCACTGGGTCACATTAGGAAATATGGATGATGTTGGCTGCCTTTTCCTGTCCTTTGCAAAAACTGCTAGAGTACTGGGCACTCTAGCAGGGTCCATCCGTGCAAAGATTTCCAAGAACACAGGCACCCAAACCAGAGAAGCTCCACCTTCCGGAGAGATGGAACAGGAACTTGACATGTGGACTCTGAGGCTCAGGACTGTGGACGGAATCCCAGGACAAGGTATGCCGGATGTGTCATTCTGTCTCCTGCCCTCATCTCTCCTGTCATCTCCAGAGACCGTGACACTGCCTTCTAGACAATGTGGTCAAGTGGGTACATTGTCTGCTTCATGCCAACGGATGCTGGACTCAAGTTCAAAATGGTGGAGTCCTATCGCTTCTCTTCTTTGACTCAAGCAGAGGACCAAGGACATGTGTCTCAGAGGAGCATGCTGTTAGTAGGAACACTAAGGAGAAGGGCGGGCAGGACCCCTGTGCTATATAGCTAGGTTCACTTTCCCCTAAGTATTGGGACTAAGGGGACAATCTAGACCGGGTGACAGTCTACATTCTGAGATGTAGTAACAGGAGATCAACCCTCTAGAGGGAAACACAGCCTTCTCCCCACTAACAAACTCTCAAGATGATTTTGAATCATCCAGCTGGGCGTTGTGGGTTGGGGGTGGGGGCAAGTGATTCTCCAGTGAACTATAATAGAAAGGTCAGGAAAGAACTGCTACATCCAAATCAATGGGAGCAATGAAAAAATGTAAACCAGCTGAGCCTTTTGTAGGATGCAGAGAAAATCAAGGGATGAGCCTCTGCCCTGAAATGAAGAGGCCTGTGGAAATTATGGGATTTAAGATTTTCAAAGTCCATTTCCCCACAGGATTTTTTTTAGGCTTTGAAATACTCCTCCTCATTTCATAAATTCATATGAGGATGCCTTGGACTTCAAAAATAATACGCTTCAAATCAAACCCAGATCGATAGTAAATATTTCCAATTCTTCTGATATATCGCCATTTTTTTTATCAAGACTTTTATTCTGCATGTTCCTCTTTTAAGCCTGTTAGTTTCAAAAGCGATTCAATGTTTTTTATCTGTAATCTGAAATTTACATCTAACTAGTAACAGCTGTGATCAACTCGCTTTGGTTTGACCAGCTTTGTTGAGATTTATAGTAGGAGTTCTTTGTAACGGATTGTTTTTCACCCGTGTTATTCAATCATTTGGTTTAATAATTTATTACTTTTAACCCATTCAGAGAACTGGCTTTGATTTGTTTTTCCTTTAAAGGAAACAAAACATGTTTGTGGTTTCGTAAAAAGGAACCAGCTGAGCTCTTGCTCTGAAGAGCTGGTTGACACGATGCCTAAAAAAAGTAAGAAGCAGTCAATTGTTTGATTGAATTTCTCCCCCCCCCCCACCCCCACTACTGGGGTGGGGGTGGAGGCCAGGGAACTCTGAGCAGGAAGGACCTGGCCACGGACGTGTGTGGGTGCCTGCTGTAGCCAGCTGGTCGGCTGAGTGAGTGGGCTGCATATCTGTGTTAACCTGATCAGTCCTCCTGGTGCTCAGCCAGGAGGTTTCTGGATTTCTTACTGGATTACTCATTTCCAACGACAATCTCCTCATATGAATTAGAATCTCCGAGTGTGGGGCCCGGAATATGTACCTTTAGCAAGAGGCCCGGGGAGAGCCTTGGGTGCACTGCAGTGTAAGAACTGCTACTTCGAAGGTATGGGGCTAAGAGCTTCATTCGGCACTGAGTCCCTGTGAATATTGGGTGCCCAGGTGACAACACACAAGTTCTCTTCTGTTAAGGATCCAAGGAACTTTCCCAAATGACCTGCAACCCCCCGGGGCAACAGAGAAAATGCCGGAGGCTGCATTAAGCTCACGGCTTTCTTTTGTCCTAAGTAAGGGCAGGTATACCTGAAATCTAAACTAAGCTCTCTGGGCTGCCTTTAGGGAAGTCCTAACAGTCGGCTGGAGTCGCTTGTCCACACACACGCTTTGAGGCCTGATGGGAAGTCATCCTCATGTGAATGTGTGATATGCATGGGAGACAGGGCCCTTCCCAGGCCCAGCCATTAAGAGAAGGGGACTGTGGACGTGGCCCAAAACGAGAGTGTCCCTTACCTTGTCCGTGCTTGTGTTTGTTGTTGATGACAATTTGCACAATGGTGCCCGATGCTTGCTGGGAATCCATGAGAGCTCCTCGGTGGCTTCTGGCCCCGGGAAAGCGGGGCAGACCTCCAGCCTGTCGGCTTGGTGGGGGGTCGTAGTGAGATCGGTGGTAAGAATGTCTCTGTAAAGTGACAAGGACAAACTCAGTCCCCCAGATCCACCAGTGAGAAGGCCCAAGTGGACTTAAACACACTTAGAAGCCATGTGATGACCTCAAGTGATGAGCTCGGATCTTAAATTAACCACATGTCCGCCTACACCGGTGGAGACATACGGTTGCGTCTGAAGCAAGAGTAGCCTTGACAACATGCCGAGATTTTTCTCTCTGCTTGCAGAAGACTGGACTAGTTTCACCTGAGGGAGCAAACAGCCCAAAAGGGTAAACAAAACGTCCTTAGCTGCTCCCAAGGAGCCATTTGCAACTCTTCAGGAGCCTTAACCTTAGGAGTTAAGGGAGTGGCCTGCAGCCCGAGGCTGAAGGGGACAAAGTGGGAAATGGTGTACAAATTAGGCAGACAAAGAGAACTTTCCAGTCATGGGGAATGTGTGACCTGGGTGGGCCATGAAGGGTGGAGAGGCTTTTCACAGGCAGAGTTGGTGAGGAATATTCCAGGTAGCGATTTCCAAGTTGAGAACGTGTAGCAGAGAACATAGAGTCCAAAAACGGGAACCGCTAAAGGATTACATTCCAAATTTGGGTTGCAGCCAGATCATGGAGGACTTTAAATGACAGGCTGAGGGGTGAGGACTTTATTTGGTAGGCAACAGAGGTGAGGGCGTGGAAGCCTTCGATGGATTTTTTTTTTTTTTTTTTGAAGCAGGGAAATAATCAGAATCAGAACTGTGTCTCCAAGCACTGATACCTGATTATATATACGGTGCGCTGGATGGAATGAAGAGACGGGATAGGCCAGATGAGAGGCACGGAGACTCAAAATGCAGCCAATGGCATGAGGTCACAGAGCAGGGTACAGACACCCTAGACATTGCATGAAAGAACTGACCGTGTAGGACAGTACCAGAATGTCGGCCAGAGGGGAGGACTTTGTTTTGCTCACTGCTATGCCTCCAGTGCCCCAAACAGCATCCAGTGTCTAGAAGGTGCTCATTAGACACTTGAAGGAACAAATGAATGAATGAATGAATGAAAGCTGTTGTCCCCAATGAAAGCTTAGAGTCTTGTACTACAAATAATGCAATCATCCCTCTGTCAGCAAGGCTTTGACACGTGATGTGCCCACTATTCTCCCAGGAGCTGAGGGAGAGTGAAGGCAGAGGAGGATGGAATGAATGAAGGCTAGAACCTAAGGCAAAAAGCCAAATAACATTGTGTTTTAGGGGCAACTGTTTGGGGTAAAGGAGGGGAGACCCGTGAGTAATTTCACAGGCAATTAAAAAGGAAGATCCTTATGTTCAGTGTTAGATATAGCAGGGGATCTTGGGAAGGTAGTTTTGGGATCCCCTAACCCCAGCATCCCATAAAACATTTATTACAGTTATGGTCCATAGCTACACATGTTGCAAATTTAGCTTTGAGAATTAGTATTAACTCTCTTGTGGGGGAAGGCACCGGTGGGAGAAGGGGAGAGAGAATAGGAGTCAGAGTAAGAGAAAGAGAACATGATTCCCTAAATCTAAGAAGCGTCCACGCTGGTACATTGCTATAAAAACTCACCCAAGTAAGAATTTGCATCAACTTATTATCATGTACACAGATGGAATTTTCAGCGCAAATATTTTTCGTTCCCACAATGGCTCAGATGTCTTTTTCACTTACATTCCACAAAGACCATTACAGAGCATTCTGTCCTTTCTGGAGTTTGGCAAAGTTTTGCCAAAGGAACACAGAGAGGACAGTCTGGCTGGTGGGTGCCCTGATGCTAAAAGGAGGGAGTCCCACAGAGCTAGAATTGGAGAGAGAAGGTCGTTAACCCAGGATGAGTTGCAAGTACAAGAATTTCTGTGATTCATGAGGGTGAGAACAAAATGAAATGCTGGCCTTGGGTGCCAGGGACTCAGACCCTGGACATACAGTAAGAGACAAAAACATTCTATACACCAACCAAACAAACAGACTCAAGGATTTTGATCAGCCCCCCAGAACCTTGCCTTGTTAAAGTCCTGCGTTTTTCAGAGAAACAGGCTAGACAGGAGAGGGGTTTTATTTAGGGTGACCATGAAGTTGCAGTTTTTGGAGATGGCAGGAGAGGAGGAGAGAGAAGGATGAACAGGAGGAGGAAGAAAGGAAGGACAAAGGGGGAGAAGGAACGTGTGGTCAAGCCCAGTGGTCTGCAAACATTTGGCTGAAAGCTGCTCTGAAGAAAATATCCAAGTCTGCTCAGATAGCAAAGTCGGCGACAGTGGTCACAACCTGGGGGTGGTTGTGGGGGTGGAGGGTGGTGAAGTGTGATTTTGATTTGAGGGTCATGGCTCTTTTATAGAGGTTGTTCCCCTAAACAGGCAAACGAGGGGCGCCTGGGTGGCTCAGTCAGTTGAGAGACTTTGGCGCAGGTCATGATCTCAGGGTTCGTGAGTTCGAACCCCGTGTCAGGCTCTGTGTTGACAGCTCAGAGCCTGGAACCTGCTTCCGATTCCCTGTCTCCCTCTCTGTCTCTCTCTCTGCCCCTATCCTGCTCGTACTGTCTCTCTCTCTCTCTCTCTCTCTCTCTCTCTCTCTCTCAAAAATAAATAAACACTAAAAAAAAAAATAAACAAGCGAATGAAAGAGGCTTACCAGGGACCATTCTGACCTTGTAACTTATAGCAAGACAGGAAAAGGCATTAACACCTTGGAGTCGTAAATGAAATTGGAGTTTATCTTAAAAACAAGCTGTGAATAGCCTGCTCAAGAGAAGAGGTCAAGACTTGTTAGGTAGAAATGGCCATATAGCTATACTTTGTTTTATTCTGCTCAATATTTTGGTATTATTTTATTTCCTGACTCAAAGTGTCGATAACTAAGGCTTTTGAAGTGGTTCCCACACAGTTCTTTTCTGATGGTGGAAAATCTCCATTATTGTCGAAAGTTCCCCAGGAATCTCTTCTTTACTTGTTCTAAGGTCTAATATGGGTTTTACTGGCAGAGACGGGGAAACAGGACAGTTCCGGGAGAGCCCTCCAAGTGCCTTCATGGCTGTGAGTCTAAAGTTATCATGAAATATAGTTTAACTTAAAGACTGTCTTCAGAATGTGTCATAATCCACACAACCTTGAGTGCCTGTATCTTCATCACTGGAACCCTGGGACCATCCCTGTCTGGGAGACACTTGGGCCAGTTTCCTTCCCCACCCACCATTCTGACAGTAGGAATGAGACGTGGATTTTTATCTGTTGCCTATTGTTTCTATCTCTAAATCTTTCACTTTTCGAGTGGTAAGTCTCTGAGTAATCTATCAGGGGCAAAATCAAGACGTTGCCTGTTGTCCAAAACAAAATTGTGCTTGCTTTCATGTTTTGGCTTTCCACCCTATGTCTACTTCTCCCTCCCTATAACACACACACACACACACACACACACACACACACACACACACACACGCTACGGTACTAGGACCAGTGTATGTGAAATTATGATCTGGAAACCGAACCAAAACCATTTCAGATTTTGACAAAGGAGCTGCAATTGAGGCACTGGTTCCTCCTGTGCACTTCGTAAAACTTGGGAAACTGATGGATTGCAACCCATGTGGCAAAATGAAGCAAACCTCTGTGTTTCTATCGAACTGACGTTTGGATGGTTCCCTGTGAATAGGGACGGTCCATTAAAGTGACAGTCTGCTGAACGGGCAACGTCCTGTGAGGCCTGCCTTTTGTGATCCCATAGAGAAAGCTGAGCCTGCACAGGATATTCAGAAGGCGTTCTCCTACCTTCTGATTTTTGGCTGCTCGAGGGCCAGCAACAAGTGTGAAGCATCTTTGACGTGGGACAAATGCCTGTGCGTTCATGTTCATGAAAAGCCCCTCCCACACATTTCACCCCACCTTCTACACCCATTCACTCAACACGGATTTATTGGGTGCCTACTATGTGCCAGGTACATATTCTTCTATTACTACAGATGCTATTTATTATTGCAAATCCTATCCCACAATATCTACCCCTTTTAGAACAAAGGAAAATATTTATTTATAATAAAGTGGAACCATCTGGACATTTTGGTCTACTAGGCCCAAATGTTTATTTCTAAAGATAGGTCTTGAACTCCTTTGAAAATCAATAACAATTTCAAGGCCCTGCATTCTGTACCTGACCTCTTTTGCTACAGGAAGTACAGGATCAAGTTCAGCCCTATCACCAGCAGTTTAGGAAAAAGGACAAGAGGGAAAGGCCAGGGTAGAGTTGGAGGCAGCATAAAATATGAGGGCGAGAAGAAGGGCTAATTAATGGCATTCCCAGCAGGATCACCAAGCTGGCCACAGACGCTTAGCTTTGGGGACCAAGGCACCCAGTTGAAGGTATCTCAGGGCCAAATTTGGTTAGAATACCATCTGGTTGACAGCCACAGATTTAGTCATTCTCAACTTTCTACCACAATAAAAAAAAAAATGAGCCCTGAGAAAAAGAGGAAATTCACAACACAAAAAATGGAGACTGGTATCATCTCCTGTCCAGATCTGGGAGGAATCTGATTTACTATAAAGCAGATAGAGCTAGATGGAGAAAATCTTGTTTTTCTTTCTTTCTTTTTTTTAAAGTTGGTATTTAAACTCCAGTCAGTGAGCATACAGTGTAAGACTAGTTTCAGGTGCACAATCTAGTGATCGAACACTTCCATACACCATTCTGTGCTCATCCCAAGTGCCCTCCTTAATCCCCATCCATCTATTTCACTTACCTTCGGGCTCCATATTAACCCGGGAACTGGGAGGCCCATCCTCTCTCACAGGAGTGTCGCTTTCTTTGAGACACCCGGTATTCTCTGCCCCACCCACAATCCTTCTACACTTATTCAGAAACAGCAACGTCTAGAAAATAATACGACTACAGAATAAAGCCAACGGCCATCACTTCAACTCATTGCTGAGGGTGTTGGCCAGCTGGATGTAGGCAAGTCGAGAGTGGCGCGTGTGATGACCAGGAAACATGGCCTAAGCAACACTGAGATGTTTATAGTGGCCATTTTATTATGTCCCCACCAACACCTTCCTTACACCCTCCATATCCTAGGGCTTGCCCTGTAATTCCCTAGACTCTTGTCTTCTATAAAACGCTGGTTGAGAAATAATTCCACGGGTTTAAAAAAATCATTTAAATGTTTTATCCTGCAGGGGCGCCTGGGTGGCTCAGTCGGTTAGGCGTCCGACTCTTGATTTTGGCTCAGGTCATGATCTCACGGTTCATGAGTTCGAGTCCTGCGTTGGGTTCTGAGCTGGCGGTGCAGGGCCTGCCTGGGATTCTCTCTCTCCCTCTCTCTCTGCCCTTCCCCTACTTGCACCCCCTCTCTCTCTCTCTCTCTCAAAAAACAAATAAGTACATTAACAT